AGATGTGGCCAAAATAGTTAAAAACAAAAAGTTAGCATTTAGGAATTATAAAAAAACCCAGAGTGAGGAAGACAAAATGATCTATAAGATTAGGCAGAAAAAGGCTAAGCAAGTTATAAGAGCTTCCAAATCACACACAGAAGAGAAAATAGCACAGTCAGTAAAAAAGGGGGACAAAACTTTTTTTAGATATATAAATGAGAAAAGAAAAAGTAAAACAAGGATTAGTTAAATTAAAAACAAAAGAAGGAAGGTATGTAGAAGAGGATAAAGGTCTAGCTGACTGCCTCAATGAATATTTTTGTTCTGTATTTACAGATGAAAATGAAAGAAAGGGACCTCAGTTAAGAAAAAGGATAAATGAGTCATTTATTACACGTGAGTTTACAGAGGAAGAGGTTCTATTTCAACTGCAACTGTCAAAAGTAAAAGACAAATAAGTCAATGGGACCTGATGGAATACACCCAAAGCTATTAAAGAGCTTAGTGGTGTACTAGCAAAACCATTAACAGATTTATTTAACCAATCATTGTTAACAGGAGTAGTCCCAGAAGATTGGAAGTTAGCGAATGTTGTGCCCATTTACAAGAAAGGTAATAGGGAGGAGTAGGGCAACTATAGGCCAGTAAGCCTTACTTCAGTAGTGGGGAAAGTGATGGAAACCATGTTAAAGGATAGGATTGTTGAACATCTAAAAACACATGGATTTCAAGATCAGAGACAACATGGTTTACTTCAGGGAGATCATGCCAAACTAATCTTATTGATTTTTTTGATTGGGTAACTAAAATTATAGATCAGGGTGGTGCAGTAGACATTGCTTACCTAGATTTCAGTAAGGCTTTTGACACTGTTGCACATAGAAGGCTTATCAATAAACTGCAATCTTTAAGTTTGGATTCAAATATTGTTGGGTAAGGCAGTGGCTGAGTGACAGGCAACAGAGGGTTGTAGTTAATGGAATATATTCGAAGCTTGGACTTGTCACCAGTGGGGTACCTCAGGGATCTGTACTTGGACCCATTCTCTTTAATATTTTTTATTAGTGATATTGCAGAAGGTCTTGATGGTATATGTCTTTTTGCTGATGATACTAAGATATGTAACAGGGTTGATGTTCCAGGAGGGATAAGCCAAATGGCAAATGATTTAGGTAAACTAGAAAAATGGTCAGAATTGTGGCAACTGACATTTAATGTGGATAAGTGCAAGATAATGCATCTTGGACGTAAAAACCCAAGGGCAGAGTACAGAATATTTGATAGAGTCCTAACCTCAACATATGAGGAAAGGGATTTAGGGGTGATTATTTCTGATGACTTAAAGGTAGGCAGACAATGTAATAGAGCAGCAGGAAATGCTAGCAGAATGCTTGGTTGTATAGGGAGAGGCATTAGCAGTAGAAAGAGGGAAGTGCTCATGCCATTGTACAGAACACTGGTGAGACCTCACTTGGAGTATTGTACACAGTACTGGAGACCGTATCTTCAGAAGGATATTGATACCTTAGAGAGGGTTCAGAGAAGGGCTACTAAACTGGTTCATGGATTGCGGGATAAAACTTACCAGGAAAGGTTAAAGGATCTTAACATGTATAGCTTGGAGGAAAGACGAGACAGGGGGGATATGATAGAAACATTTAAATATATAAAGGGAATCAACACAGTAAAGGAGGAGACTATATTTAAAAGAAGAAAACTACCACAACAAGAGGACATAGTCTTAAATTAGAGGGACAAAGGTTTAAAAATAATATCAGGAAGTATTACTTTACTGAGAGGGTAGTGGATGCATGGAATAGCCTTCCAGCTGAAGTGGTAGAGGTTAACACAGTAAAGGAGTTTAAGCATGCGTGGGATAGGCATAAGGCTATCCTAACTATAAGATAAGGCTAGGGACTAATGAAAGTATTTAGAAAATTGGGCAGACTAGATGGGCCGAATGGTTCTTATCTGCCGTCACATTCTATGTTTCTATGTTTCTATGTTTCTATGTTTCTATGTTTCTATGTTTCTATGTTAAAATATATTCTAGAATTTTGGCCGATAGACTCAAACCAAATATACCTGATATTGTTCATATAGATCAGAGTGGATTTGTAGAAGGTAGAGGTACATCGGATAACATTAGGAAATTATTGAATGTTCTATACCATGCGGACCAAAGTCTGTCTCCTTTCGCCATGGTAACCCTCGATGCCGAGAAGGCCTTCGACCGTGTTAATTGGAAGTACTTGGAAGAAGTTCTGAAGGCCTTCAGCATAGAGGGTCTGTTTAAAGATTGTACAATGGCGTTATATAAAGATCCTCAAGCTAGAGTTTCAGGATTTATGTTTCAATCAAACTGGTTCCCAATAAGAAACGGGACGCGACAGGGTTGCCCTTTGGCACCTCTGTTATATATCCTTTCTATAGAACCGCTGGCAGCCGTGATTAGACAGAATGATGACATTAGCGGACTAAAAGTGAATAGTCTGGAGAACAAAATTGCACTTTATGCAGATGATGTTCTATTGACTCTTACAGATCCTATTAGATCTATTCCAGCTGTATTTTGTCTTATTAATGAGTATAGTAAATATTCAGGCTATAAAATAAATATAAAAAAAAAACACAAATCCTGACAAGAGGTCTCAATGGGCCTGAAGTAAAAAAACTTAAAAAGGAGTTTAAATGTGATTGGGAAGCAAGGAATATAAAATATCTAGGGGTAAGACTATCCCTGGATTATAGGGAAATTGGGGAACTTAATTATACAGAAATAGCTATTCAATTTAGGAGTATCTTAAAAAGTTGGAAGGGACTGGAATTGTCCTAGTTGGGAAGAATTGAAGCGGTAAACTCTTATTTACTCCCCAAATTGATATTTTTGTTTAGTAATCTCCCGCTGAGGGTATCACCCCAGACGATACGCGGTCTTCAAAAACAGGTTTCGGATTATATATGGCAAGAGAATTTGGAGATCTTACAGAGACATTGGAAGGAAGGGGGAATTTCTTTCCCAGATATACAGAAATCATATATGAATAATATGGTAGCACACTTAATTAAATGTGATAATTTTACAATGTCAAGACCAGTTTGGTTAGATATTGAAAAAATGGATCTCTCTAATATTGAACCTTTATTTCTTTGGTGGTGTGATAGTGATTTAGTAAATAATATAAGATCTAGCAACCCGATGAATAACACAATGATCTACATTGTAAAATACCTAAAAAAAAAAAATATGGAACTAAACATATATCGAGAAATGCCCCATTAATATGTCTAAAATATTATCTAAAAAATATAAATTTTCAAGAATGGGAAAAATGTGGAATTGTAAAAATTGCGGAACTTTTAAATGATAACAAAATATTGCCATTTGCAATGATACAGTTCAATTATAATCTCCCTTCGAAGGAAATATTTAATTACTTAAGAATAAAATCTTTTATTATGGGAAATGTCTTTTCGGAAAGTTCCCCATTAGATCAGTTTGTAGCATTTCACTATAAAAAGAAAATTGTATCTAGATTTAATCAATTTACAAGATGCCAAAGGCAAATAGCTAAAGCATCGGCAATGAATAACTGGGAGCAGGAACTCCACTTTTCATCCTCGGTTGAAGATTGGATTTTAGCCCTACAATCGGTAAAAAGATATATACATGGGGTGAATATACAGGAAGTGTATTTTAAATTGGTGTATCGTTGGTATCTGGTGCCCACTCGCCTCCATAGATTTCAACCCACACTTCTACCAGATTGTTGGAGATGTGGTAGGGAGTTAGATTCTTTTTCCCACATCTGGTGGGACTGTGAGGAATTGAAATCTATGAAAACAAATTTATTGGATTTAGTGGACTCTATTTTGAAGGTCCAAACTGTCATTACGGCTCAAATGTTCTTGTTTCATTTAGATATGCCAATAGTTAACATAAGACAAAAAATCCTTATGATTCACTCTTTTATGGCAATAAAAATAGTTATGGCTAGAAATTGGAGAAACATGGGCTCGTTAAATTGGCAT